CTTGGCTTCAAATGGCCCTTCTCGGTGTAGCTCCAGAGCCGGCCCCGAGAGCGCCTCCTTGTCCAGGTTCTCCACCGCGCACCTTCTGCCCCGTCCTTCACCCGAGCCCGGAGCCTAGCTCATGAATCTGGAGAAGACAAACTGCTGAGACAGAGGAAGATTTAGGGCCCAGCGTAGGCCAGCCCAGCGATGGCGCCCATTTTTGGAGACGCAGTCGAATTTGAGCTCCGGGAGGTGTGGTCCACTGCACTTGGGACGGGAGAGGCCTCGTTTCTGTGCCTCTGTAGCCGGTGCTTCTGAAGGGCGAATGGAGTGGATGGAGCAGGGCGCTCCCCTTCGCTTCTTGACGGCGTGACCCCTACCCCGACATGCTTAGGGACAGAAGCTGTTCAGGAGGGGCCTCTGCTACGAACTGTCTTTGCGGCTGGGGGAAGGGCTGCGCGCTGCCTGCCTGCTCATGACGGGGAAGTCGGCCCTGACTTTTCTGTACTCCTGGAGGGGCGTCTTGCTCACGTGTTTACCAGCCGCTTGGACAAGGAAGAGGAAAGGTATTGGTATTTAAGAGACTGGGTTGCTTAAGCTGCGAACCGGGGAAGTTGTGAGCGGTGGAATCCGACTGGATGAGGGACTGGCTGCGGCGCGATTGAACTCGCAGTGCTGTTTTTCTGGGTCTGCTGTGCTTTGCTCAGTTTAAATCAAACTTCATGTTACGCCACGACTTCTGCAGAGTTGTCTGTCTTGAGTTCTCCGTTCCTGCTCGGTTCCTGCTCGGTCCTGCTGGGTTGCTAGGGGAGCTGTGTGGTTGTTCCACGTTTGGAGGTGGGGCAGGGTTCCTGTCCTCTGTAGCAGCCGCTGTCCTGTAACACCTGCCACATTTCACTTGTTCTTCACACTTCGAATAGGAATTTAAATCGTGCTTTCTACAATGTTTGGAAAAATAGGAAAGATGTTATAACATGAACCCGAACTACTGATGATACATGTATAACTCTTTTGCTAGGCCAAGAAATGAAAGCAGCGTTTTCTTGCTTAGTAGTTACGTTGAATGCAGACTGAGTGTACAGACCCTCCATGTGATTAGCCATTTTGGTTTGGTGATTTGAAAGACATAAATGGCTTAGACTGTTTTGTACCTAAGAAACCACTTTCCAATTATTATTGCTCACTTAAATGAGCAGCATAAAATGGACCCTGAAATAGGCAGACAGCAAATATGGGGGTTCTGGCAGTGCTGTAACCCCATCGTTTTACAAGTGCCCTGAAATGCATGGATCATCATTTGCACAGAGTCTCCTCTGGGAAACCGGATTACAGGAGAGTCCCTTTGTAGCTTTTTTGTTGGGCTGGAACACCTGGTTATACAGGTGTCAGATGGTAACTGATTCATGTTGTCCTAAATCTATGTGATGAGCCACATTATGATGGAATTCTGCTATACTTCTGTTTCCCCTTGAACTTTAGCATTTTCCTTTAGTGACAGTGGAGCAGTGGAGTTAATCTTTTGGCACCCTCAGCCCCCATTTACGGTGTCTATTCTTGAGTAATGTAACCCAAATTGCATTTACATGGTAACCCACATTGTTTTTTTAAAGTTAAATTCTTTGCAACAGAATGATGATTATAATTGAAAATACATTAAACTTGATGCATTACCTTTTAATTTTGTAGAAATATGTCTTATATAGTTGTTGGGACTGATCTTGTGTCACCCAGACAGACTCTTGAGAACAGGAGCTTGTTTTCTTTATCTTTCATTCAGCCTCTCAAGTTAGCTACAGTGTTGCTCGTTTCTTCCAGGTGACATTTATTTCTCAGTGTTTACGACCGTGACTGTGCTGACGAATGTCTTGGCAGCAGCGGCGAGAGCCGTAGGGTACGAAGGGTTCTTTACCTGGGGCTCAGCCCCCTTCCCCAGTGTCGTGTGTGTCTCTGGTGCTTTCATCTTTGTTCTTTGTTTACCTTTTCCTGACTTTCCTGACATTTCTTCCCCTTTGCAAATTATATCTGATTTATATGGTGGAATGGAAGTAGAATAGAATGATTTACCAGCTTAAAACTGAGGAGGGCCCTCCATTCGTCCTCCGTCCTCCCTCACTTTGGAGGGGGCACTGATCAGGAGGAAACAAGACTAACGTGGAGCTGACGGTGCCGTCCCGGGCAAAGACTTGGTAGACGAAGATGGACAGTGGGCTGGCAGCAGGCCCCGTGGCCCTCCATTCCCACACACACCGAGGCCAGACAGCCGGTTCTCACCAGGGGGACTTAGAGCCCACACCTTGGTGATCCCTTGGGTCACTTAAAACTCCCTGTAGCTGTCTGACGCGGCCGGGAACCGCATAGACTGAGCAGGGGCAATAGGGGCGTTGAACGCGGGGAGGAGGAAGTCCAAGCGGCACTGGCACTGAGAGGATCGAACTGACGACGCTTAGCGCCCCCTAGTGGCTGCCACCCGCTTTCTGTCAGCGTTCACTCCGTGGGGTCCACCCAAGGCTGATTTTTTTTACCTTTTTTTTTTTTAAGGGCATTTTAAAGTGTTCTGAAACATTTTGAAGAGAGATTTCAACCAGCGTGGAACCCTTAATAATCCAAAGGCATATTTTGTGTAATTTACGTTTTTATAACCCTGTTTATCTTCCTTTATTTTGCTCACACTAAAGTTTGCATAGGACACGTATTTCTGGGACGTAAACATTTGTAAAACAAGTTCAAGCTGCCATCACGTTTCCCTCGCCTCCTTTTATTCTTATTTATGTTTTTATTGCAGAAATGAGCCGCCAGACTGCAACAGCTTTACCCACGGGAACGTCAAAGTGCACGCCGTCCCAGAGGGTGCCCGCCCTCACCGGCACAACCGCGTCCAACAATGACTTGGCGAGTCTTTTCGAGTGTCCGGTCTGCTTCGACTACGTGTTACCACCCATTCTGCAGTGTCAGAGTGGCCATCTTGTTTGTAGCAACTGTCGCCCGAAGCTCACATGCTGTCCAACTTGCCGGGGCCCCCTGGGGTCCATCCGCAACTTGGCTATGGAGAAAGTGGCCAATTCAGTACTTTTCCCTTGTAAATATGCCTCTTCCGGATGTGAAATAACCCTGCCACACACAGAAAAAGCAGACCACGAAGAGCTCTGTGAGTTCAGGCCTTACTCCTGCCCGTGCCCCGGCGCTTCCTGCAAGTGGCAAGGCTCCTTGGATGCGGTCATGCCGCACCTGATGCATCAGCACAAGTCCATCACCACCCTGCAGGGAGAGGATATCGTGTTCCTTGCCACGGACATAAACCTGCCGGGCGCCGTGGACTGGGTGATGATGCAGTCCTGCTTCGGCTTTCACTTCATGCTAGTCTTGGAGAAACAGGAAAAGTACGACGGTCACCAGCAGTTCTTTGCAATTGTACAGCTGATAGGAACACGCAAGCAAGCCGAGAATTTTGCATATCGACTTGAGCTAAATGGTCATAGGCGGCGATTGACTTGGGAAGCCACGCCTCGCTCTATTCACGAGGGCATCGCGACAGCCATTATGAATAGTGACTGTCTAGTCTTTGACACCAGCATTGCACAGCTTTTTGCAGAAAATGGCAATTTAGGCATCAATGTAACTATTTCCATGTGTTGAAATGGCAATCAAACGTTTTCTGGCCAGTGTTTAGAACCATTGCTTTCAGTTTCACAGAGAATAGGCTCCGTCTCGCCTGCCAGCCTGAACTGTTGGTAGGTGGAAGCTAGACGCGCGAAGGTAAATAAACGGAAAGGCTGTTAAATACGGGAAGCAGTTGCATGTAGTAACACTAATATATTTAAAAATAAGTCAACAGTAAACCACTGAAAAAAATATATATATACACCCAGGATGGGCATCTTTTGTATTAAGAAAGGAAGCATTGTAAAATAATTCTGAATTTGTGTTTGTTATAGACTGAGTGTACTGTTGGAAAATACTGGGTTTTTGTGTTTTGTTTCTGTTCTGTTTTTGCGTGTGTGGGCGTGTGTGTGCGAGCGCGCGTGCGTGTGTGTGGATTTTTTTCCTTGAACTGACAAGCCATGTGGGGTGGTCTTGGACCACTGCTTTTCCCTGTTGTGAGTCGGTACATAGTGCTGCTCTGTGTGTATATTTTTTGTGTGTATTTGCTAATTTTTATTAATTCTAGTTTTTCATTAAATAAATTTGACTTTCTTTTCTGTAATTCAGGCTTTTCCTCACCTTTTTTTGTACCTTTTAAAAGTTAGTGTCTTTTTGATATGCATAATTGTTTATGGTAAAGCTTATACATATGTGTTCCATACATATTTTCTTTCTCCCTATTAATCAGTTCATTAGAAATATTTTAAATTCAGCTATTTTGTGAAGGTAAGAGTTCCAGAAGGGAAAGGTAATATTGGAAGAATTTTCAGAAGCTATTTAAAGCAGCTGTAAGATGGTCGGTCTGTCTCTTGTGTGCTCGTGGGCGCTTTCTCCCCCCCCGCCCCCCATCTCTCCCTCCCTCCCGAGCCTCCCCACCCCCTTCTCCAGTTGAGTCACACCTTCAGACTTACTCATTGAAAGTTTAGGGTATACTGATTTTTTTTTTAAATGTCGAAAAAAAAATCAGGCTCTTTTTTTCCCCCACATATCTTGGACAAATCACATATGTTTAAAATTTGTTCTTGTATTTATTGGTTTTGCAAAAGAAGGCATCGTCTTACACAGTATTTGTAATTAAAAGCAAATCATTTGTTTAAAAAAGGCAGTTTGCAAAAAAAATGTTTTTGGTCTTTTATAATTCTCATTAAAAGAATATCTGGCAAATTAAAAACTCTTTTGTGTTTGCTTCAGCTCTAAGCTTGATTAACATCCAAAGTTATTTTCCTGTTCCCATCTGTACACGATAGCAGAAAGCAATGTCCCGTCTTTGGAAACGTAGCGTTTACAGCGCGAGACCGGACACAGACCGGACCGGCTTCCCCTCCCTCCTGCTTAATGTGGATTCTCCCAGCTGTTAGGAGGCCGATTAGCTAAAATACTGATCACTTTCTTCTCCTTTAAAAAAACGATAAAAACGAGTTAGTATTTCATAGCCTGCGATCATGAACCTGGGCCGTGCGGCTGGACGTCCAGGGACCAAGTGCTAGTCCGGGCCCTGACCCACCTACAGCTGAGTGACTTTGGGCCCCTGGTTTCCTCTTGTCTAAAGCGGGGTTAATTATGGTAGCTGCCGCAAAAGGTTAAAATGGGGTAGAAGTTGACCTAAAACAGTGTCTTATACATAATAAGCACCCAACAAACATTAGCTGCTGTTATTATGCTTTTAACAAGCACCATATCGTTCACTGTTAGCTCCGCCGAGGCAGCTGGCAAGATGCCGGAACTGCCTTCTGCATGGCCAGCGTCATTTCATTTCGTGTGGCTTTTCGGGGAACCCTCACTGTAGAAAGTCAGTTGAAATTACTTTGGACTTCCCGGTTTTCCCAGCTCCACTAGCAGTTCCGGATAACAGAACTTCTCACCATTTTCAGATAAGACAGTGTCGTCTCTGCCTTACGTAAGTGTTATTTTTTGAATTGGTTATACGAAGTGCTTATGGAACCATTTTTGGGGTGAAAGAGAACACAGGTCAGCCACTATCATCTGTCCAGGTCTGTTCCTGTTAGCATGCGTGTTTGAAAAAGCAGTTTTTTCTCCTTTTTTAATATACAGCTGATCCTTGGACCACACAGGTTTGAACTGAGCTGGTCCGCTTATATGGGGGCCTTTTTCGATCAATACAGCACTGTATGTAATTTCCTTACGATTTTAACGTTTCCTTTTCTCTAGCTTGCTTTATTGTAAGAATACCGTACATAGCACAGCATCCAGAATATGCGTTGGTAGACAGTTGACGTTACCGGGAGTCAGAAGTTACACGCGGAGTTCTGGCTGCGTGGGGGAGTCGGTGCCCCCGCCCCTTGCATTGTTCACGGATCAACTTATTTTGTGGGGGTGCGTCATTTTTTAAATGTGCTCAATGTATAGACTTTGGAAGTTAGAAAATGGCACACACGATAGAGCTCTGTACAACTGAATGTTTTTGTTCGTCTAGTCCTTTGTATTTGCACGTGCTTATTTACACATCTATTTTGAAATTATGTGATTCTGGATCATGTAACCCTGTAACCTCACATCCTCACGGAGGCGATCATTTAGCATTTCTGCACCTTAATAATCTTGGAAAAACTTCATTTCGGGTTAATTTTGTGAGGATCAACTGTAATTTCAGCCGATTTCCTGATGTCGGATATTTGCTTCGTCTATTTTGTTCAGGTAAATTTTTTGGCTGTTTATAAATAACTCGTGAATGTTTGTTTTCTGATGATATTCTTGGGATCGTTTGTTATGTTAAAGTCTTGATACTTTTATTGCTGCTGTCTGGAGGGGTTTGTGGACACGGCGACTGGAGGATTTTCCATTTCACTGTAACCTCGTATTTTGCTAATTCATGCAAATGAAGATAGTAAATTTTGTGTTTGACCGTTAATAAGGTTGATGTTTTACTATTTATATTTCTACTAAGTCGTCTTCATATTCTTGGCTTACAGGGATGCTGAGACCTACAGCCATATTTCTTGGTCCGTCTGAGAGTGAGGTCTTGTTTGTTCTTAAGTCACCGTGTTAACATCGGTATTCCACTTTCCCCCATTCACGCCCCCGCCCCTTCTTTTGGTGTCTGGGTGATTTCTTTCAGGGGATTGAATCAGGTACTCTTTAACTTTGTTCTTTTGCTTTTATACTTTAAACTTGAACTCTACCTGTTGAATGCAATCGTGGGCCAGTTCAGTATGTTAATGGCTGTTGGAGAACAATTTTTCCTTCTGCTTTGAGCAATTTTAATGATAATGTGCGACATTTTATGAAGGCCCACCTTTCTGCAAACTCGAAACTTACATGAGTGGCATAGCTGTTTCGGCTCACCAGAAATCCTAGTCCCCACCCCTCCCCATCCCCCAGGAGCTCAAGAGTTTTTTATGTCCAGGGACATCCGCAGTGACCCTGCTCACCGAGTCTCATTTCATTCGGCTTCCTGGGTGGAAGAATTGGTAAGTGACCCAAATGAAAACAAAACACCGGGGCCAGCCTGCGACTCTTGCACTGGAGCTGATGAGTAAGATGAGAACGCACCAGGGTGAGCGGAGCGAGCCGCCAGCCAGCACTGCGGCCGCCGCGATGGGTGCAGTGCAGACGGGGTCACGGAAGCAGGCCGATGGCCCTGCCGGAATCTCGGGGCCCTCCCCTCCCCAGTGTGTGCGTTCAGAGACGACACGGTGGGCGACGCCGGGAACGGGGTTCGGGGGGACGGAGGGATGGGGAGCTACTGCTCATCAGCTTCAGGTTAAAATGATGAAAAAGCTTTGGATGTAGTGGCGATGGTCGCACAATACTGTGAATGTAATTGCCTCTGAATTATATACTTAACCATGGTGAAAATGGTCAATTTTGTTATTTTGCCCCAATAAAAAAGAACAAGTGAATAAAAGAGCTTAGACTTGAAAAAATGAAAGACGATGCTAGAGAAATGAAGGTCGGTCTGTTAATGTCCCACAGCGGGGTCTCCAGACGGCTCCTCCTGAGCAGAAAGAAGGTGAGCGTCACCGCCGAGGGCAGCAGGTGCTCCCGCTGCCGGCCAACACCAGGCCGCCTGGTCAGGGCTCCCGTGGGAGGCGCCATCGACCCCACTTTCAGAGTGCGCTCGGTGCCACCGCAGGTGGAACACGGCAGTGACGGTGTGGACTGGCTCCCTGTGGGTGCTGAACACGAACTAATGGGTCCTTTTCCTTCTCTGCAGGGTGATTGAACAGAAATGACTAAATTACAAGTGACGAGAGTCGGTGTCTTCAGCTGTCCGGACGTTCTTTCTCCCGCCCGCCGTGATGCGCCCCGGACCTGGACGTGCTCTCCCAGAACACGGCGGTTTCACCGGCAGGGCTGAGCGCGGCGTTTGGGGGACTCGTCGAGCCCATTCTCATCCAGGACACTCCGCAGTGTCCTTGCATACCCTTCTATTTTGATTCTGAGGTCCTTCGTTGGCTGGAGTCATTAGAAACTGCTCGACGTCATTTTACATTGCATTCTAACTTAATCTTCATAGTCGCACTGATGAAGGTACTAGAATTGGCATTGTACAGGTCAGTAAATCTGTGATCCAGAAGGTCGCACAGCGAGTTAGCGGACAAGCCTTTCTGTCACCTGCCCCGGTGGAGTCAAAGGAGAGGCACAGCCAGGGGCTACTGGATCTGGGAGCCCGCATCGGCCAGCGGAGCATAAATCTGTGATCCAGAAGGTCGCACAGCGAGTTAGTCAGCGGACAAGCCTTTCCGTCACCTGCCCTGGCGGAGTCATAGGAGAGGCACAGCCAGGGGCTACCGGATCCGGCAGCCCGCGTCGACCAGCAGAGCGGGAGGGGAGCTGGCAGGAGTCGGGATAAGTGTGAGGGCCATCGCGGGACGGTGGCTGCCTCTCCCTGGGGCCTGGACTTTTCCTAAGGTGACAGGCGTTGGGAGCCGATGTGTTTTTGTGCTCTGCGCTCACACACGTCACTCTGCCCTGTGTAAGTTACGATCCTCGGGATAAGTGTGAGGGCCATCGCGGGACGGTGGCCTGGACTTTTCCTAAGGCGACAGGCGTTGGGAGCCGGTGTGTTTTCGTGCTCTGCGCTCACACACGTCACTCTGCCCCGTGAAAGTTACGATCTGAAGGCTGCTCCCCCCACCCCCCACCAGAGCCCACCAGAGCTCGCTCACCACAGGTGACCGTCCCCAGAAAGACTCGTCGTTGGCTCTCTCCTCATCTTTGCCCAGGTCCCCTTCGGAGCAACTTTCTGGGATCCGGCGACAGCTGCAGGCGAAGCTGCTATGGCAACAGCCCAGGCCAGTGGATCTGGACCTGGACCACGCACCTGCCTCACCCGAGGGGGCTCTGGGCCTGGCCCCAGCCCAATTCCGAGGGCCTGCCGACCGGGCCTGGGAACGCATCTGCGACCGGTTCCCAGGGGATACAGACGCTGTGTTCCGGCAGCGTGCCGACAGCAGGCCTCTGCATCTGCCGGGGACAGCAGTGACCCCACTCAAGACAAGAGAACTCTTTAATCTCTTATCAATTTATTAAATGGACATTTCTGCAGTTAACACCAGCCACCGCCCGAGTGAGGTTCATTAATGCTAGGATCATGCTCGGTGTGAAGAGGCGACCTTGCCGGCACCGCCTGGCACCCCGCGACGTGAGCCCTGAAAGGCTGAGGCCCGAGCCTACAGCTTGCTGTTCAGGACGCCGGGTCTGGCCTTGACAGGGAAGCCGCCATCGAAGGCCGCGTTGAGGACGTCGTCCAGGCAGCTTGCCGTGATGAAGCTCAAGTCCTGTCGCACGTGGCCTGGGACCTCCTCCAGGTCCTTCTCGTTCCTCTGAGGGATGACGACGCACTTCAGCCCTGCCCTGTGCGCTGCCAGGACTTTGTCTTTCATTCCGCCCACCTGGAGGGAGAGACGCACGCAAGGCTGTGACTGACCGCAAGGCTGTGACCGTCCTCGGGCTGCAGGGAAACCTGACCCCCCGTGTCCCCTTCTACTCTAAAACATCAGATCGGCTTGTTTTGTCACAGCACGAGCGAGGAAAGCCGCTCGGAAGCTGAAACTTCACTCTCTGCATTTCAGTTCCTGTTCCGTTAAACCCTTAGACCGACGGGCCCACCGCTCTGCCCACGAAGCGTTGGCATGCCGGCGGGCCGCCTTCCGCCCCGCTCCGGAACCCCGCGTCTGCTCTACGGCCTGGCTGGGCAGAGCGCCCTCCCTTGGACTGTCCACACCGGTCCCAGAGCCCGGCCTCCATGCCCTGGGGGAGCAGGTACCCCGGCGAGACCTGGCTCTCGAGGTTTTAAACGCGCCCACGCTGGTCCCTTGGAAAGGCGCGATCCAGCTCCCTGTCCGGGACACAGCCCAGTGGGTGGCACTGCACTTGGCTCCCGCCTGGCTCGGCCTCTGCCGTGATTCCCTGGAGGCCACCCGCCAGCTTGGGGTCACCCGAGCAGCCTCTGGACAAGCCCTGAGGCGGGAGTCGGGGCGTCCTGCCAACCGGACCCATTTGCCCATCACGTGAGGAACTGAGAACATTTTATATATTAAAAATGTCTTTTCTAATTTTTTCTGAGAACGTTTTTAGTGTCCCTAATTGGTGATTCTGTGACCTAGTTTCATCACTATCATAAAGATGCTCTCAGAATAACATTCCTTTTTTTCCCTCATTTTGCTATGAACCTGCCAAAGTTTCGTACACTGGTACAGGTCACTAATGACCTAAAGCCCCAGGCTCTCTGTATTTTCTGTGTTTTTATAAGTATTTAGGCTACAGACCATGGTGTCCCAAGGCTCCGTACGTACAGCATTTTTTCAAAATTTAGCAAAGACATGGTTAGTCTTTATTAGTTTCCATTTCATACTCCCCCCGCCCCCCGCCATAAATTTATCAACTATCGTGTTCTAAGTTTTCTCTAGGACAGGTCTTCCAGGAACTTCAGGTGAGAAACTGGGCTTAATGTTTAAAAATAGCTGCTCTATTTTATACCTATACTATATATGTAACAATTTGCTTATAAGAAAAGCCTCCGATCGTCTGATGAGCAGCCTGATATTTTTTTCCCTTAGCAAGCCTTCATTCTTAGTAGAAAGGAGAATGTGGGAAAAAACTGTCTGTTTTTCTTTTATCTGATCAAAATTTAAAAATATGATTAGTTGCAGGTATAAAAATTTAATATGTACTTAAAACTAAGGTATTCATAGGAAGAAGGCGAGCGCTATAAAATTAACGGTACAGTTCACTGAAATTTAAAATTTAAAATTAAAAAGCCATCTGTAGAGTTTTCTTACCGGAAGAACAAGCCCTCTCAGTGTGATTTCGCCGGTCATGGCTACGTCTGAACGCACCAGCCGCCCACTGAAGAGCGAGGCGAGACAGGTCACGATGGTGACTCCCGCGGATGGCCCATCTTTTGTGACAGCGCCCGCCGGGAAGTGCAGATGGATGTCTGTGTTGTCAAGAAGATCGAAACTCCCAGAAGCTAAAAAAAGATTTTAATGGAGAAAAATCAGACCTATTTTCCTTTTCTCCTAAAAAAGAAAATCGAAGAGATAAAAATGAATGTTTTGGGTAAGTGACGCCTTCAAAACATTAATAGGTGGTACAGACGTGTGTGCGCGTCTGAAAAACAGCTTCATCCTCTCCCAAGCGGGACTGAACCTCGCCAGGCCGCCCTGCACTGGAGACTGGACCTGCCAAGGCTTCAGGTCCGGAGGTGCCGCTGGTCGCTCGAAGCTCGTCTGACCCTTGGCCACCCGACTGTGCGACACAGAGGCCCCTCCTGGCCCACCACTCACCGTTGGTCAGATGGTACTTCTTTGCGTTGCTGCGGAGCCAGCTGATGGCCAGGTGGGCAGACTCCTTCATGACGTCGCCTAGCTGGCCGGTCAGCGTTAGCTGGCCTTCGCCGTCCATGCGACTTGCTTCCACGAACATGATTTCCCCGCCTAAGGGTGTCCAGGCCAAACCTATCGCCACTCCTGGCTGACTCAAGCGCTCAGACACCTTGAGGGAGAGAAGGAAGGTGATCAGTTCGGCCAACAAGGGCCAAACCGCTTTGAGGCTGGTGGGCCCGAGCGCGCCACGCTGCAAGGGTCCCCTCCCCTGCAGGCCTGAGTTTAAGCCAACCCCAAAGGACTCGGGGCCTCAGGTGACCTGGAGTCACACCGCCTCCTACACATGGCTTTCTGCCAGAGGAAGCTGAACTTCCTTCTCCAGCATTTATCTGAAGCAATTTTACCTTAAAACTCACGCAAATAACTTTGATTCTAAAGAGCCACACCTAATTTCACGTCTCCTGATTTTCAAGGAACAAACCCAATCGTTTTACCCATTTAAACATTTTTACTAGGCTGCATGTGTATACATGCTCCGGGCCCTAACTTCACGTCAGCAATCGTAGGTTTGTTTCGCAGAGTTTTAACACGCTTACGAAGTGTCAGCCTCAGAGGCCAAGGGTTAGGGTGGATGCTGAGACCGCGAGGCTTCACCTCTGTTACTGCTTCAGCCTCAACGTCTAAGGTCCTTCCCCGCGGGCTCGAGGCCCACGGTGTGGCCTGCCATAGCAGACTGAACGTGTCACTCAGCTGAGGCCGCGAGCCTAGGTGATGAGCCAGGCGGGTTACACAAACATGCAGAGTAACAGGCAAAGAACAGTCATGCTGACGGTCACCGCACCCCTGGAGCCGCGACGGGCCCCATCCTGCAGGAGCTGTCGTCGGAGGGACTGCGCAAGGCACATCCTCCCCAGCACGCCCCCAGGTGTGGGGCCCCGCGGGGGCGCCGAGGGCCTGGCTTTTGGTCAAAAGGCCGCGTGGCTGATGCTCCTTTGGACGGTGAAAGTCCTGATTTTAACAGGTACTCCAAAACCACGGGTGGCAGCCATCGAAGCTGCTGGGCACTTACTTTCGTGAACGTAAAAGCCTATGTTTAAGGTTGGCTTTGTATTTTCAAAGTTCATTTCTAAGTAACGTCCTATGACAAGTTAGAGACTTGAAGGGCACAGCGTGGCGTTGGCCAAGCTGACCACCAGGCCTCTGACCTCACCCCCTGCAGCTCTGGCACCTGCCCTCCCTGTCCCTGTCCTGTTTACTCGAGGAGGAAGACACAAAGGGTCGGTGTGCCTGGGGACACGGACGGCCGCAGACACAGAGGCGGCCCTCTACACCTGAGCGACGCTGGGCTGGGCGAGGACTCACCAGGGTTTATGGCGTGGCTCCTCCTAGGGCTGAGGGCACTAATCCTAAAGACATCAAAACCCTGAATCCCGTACCAGCGTTAACATGAAAGGCCACTTGGCACAGTTTCGTCAGCTATGACAAGAACGATCTTTTCACGACTAAGTCCTCCAAACTCGCGTGTCAGAATCATCAGAAGCATCTGCACGGACTTGGCAGCGAGATGGCCGCCCGTGTCGCCAAGGCCCATGCGCCCCTCCTGCTGTGGAGGTGACTGGCCACGGGCCACTGCGAGTGCGGCGGCCAAAGCCAGATGTCCAGGTTCACGGTCACTGCTCCGACTTGACGGGGCTGGCTGTTCTACCGTTAACCGGAGGATGGATCGACACATGCAGCTTGCCAGTGACGTGCGCTGGGGAGCTGCGGGCGTGTTACCGCCACACCCGGGCTAGCAGCAGCGCCCGCGGGCACGAGGCTGTCACTCTCAGACTGAGTCACCGTCTTCAGGGCCTGTCTTCTGAAACGGCTACCGACCGCTGCATTCCTACGAGTCGGTCCCGTGGAAACGAGTCAAGGCAGAGACGCGGGCTCCTTCCTTGCTCACCTTCACCGCCCCACAGAGCCACCGATTTTCAGCGCTGGTCACTGTAAGTGATCAACACGCTGATTTCAGAGCCACGTTACCTACCCACGCTCTTCTCCCGCTTGTGACCCGTGGCCGCCTTGTGGCCGCGTCACTGACACCGGCCCCGCCAGGCCCAGGCACGCCGCAGCTCGACGCAGGCCGGCCCCACCTGGTGGCAAGTCCACGTCTGTCGTGCAGTTCCCACTGGCACCTTCCTGCGTTTCGGTTTCCTTACCCCTTAACTGAATCTTGCTCAAAGGATGACCACTGTCTGATAATTCCGCCAGCCACGCAGGTGTGCAGCTTGAGGACGTGTTAAACATGTAATGGCAACGGCGTTTCCGTCACGCACGGCTGCAGCGGGCGGAAGGAGCCTTTGAGGCTGTAACCAGTGCCCGCTCCCTGCTGTTCTTCCCTTGTAACCAAACGTGGCGGTATTAGATTGAAACCGTAAACACGCACGATCCCTGGCGACCCTTCCAGCCGACACTGAGACTTTACCCTTGTTCTGTGCTGCTGCAGCCCCAGCCGGGGAGCCACCATGGCAGGGAGGCCAGCAGGTGCAAGGACGGGGGGACGAGTAACGCTGTGGGCCTCGTTTCCAGGGACGAGACGGCCGTGCCGTGCACGCAGGCGGCTCGCGTGACCCTCACACCGTGAGCGAGCTCCCTGCACAGCTCACAGGCACTCCGCGTCCCGCCAGGGCTGTCCCCAAGGCAGCCGCTCATCTGCCAACTTCTTCAGTCTCCGAGCTAAGACCCTAGGCCTTGAATTCGTGAATGGTCGATTTTTCTGGCTGTAAACTTCTCTCGGTAGCCGGCAGGTTCCCCACGCTTCCCATAGCTGCGTGCCCGGCCCCGCCTCCCTTCAGCGTAGGGGTGGCGACCCCCAGGTGAGGGCTTTGCTCACTCTGTTGTCAGAAGCCAATACTGAGGCTTCAGCAGAAAGAAGGGATGGAGCCTCGGTCTTCGGAGTAGCAGTGGACGGAACGTAGACGCCTGTGGCCTGGACGGCTGGTTTCCTGAAGCTGAAAATTACATTTATCCTGGAAAGACTGGACAAATTTACTCGTTCTTTGCTTGTTCTTCTGATTGTCACTATATTTACGATCTGTGAGTTTAAGGCTGTTACCCCCAGAAATAGAAACTCTTTCTTTGTTTTCGGCCAAATGCAAGATTGAGCAGCTCGGTGTATCTAGCGTGAAGGCTTTGCTAGGATGAAAAGGACAGTCACAAGGTCCTCACACCCAAAAAGGCATCGCGTCATCCACACACGGACCTGTAGCCGGGTTTGTCATCTTCAGCGCCATCGCCTCACTGGGTGGTGACCAGGTCCCTCGCCCTTCCTCTTCCCCGCGCCCCGGCCTGGTCGCAGCCCTGCTGCTGAGGCCCGTCCCCGACCTGCGCCACCCGCCCCCGCCACTCCCCGCTTCTCTCAGCGCGTAGGGGCTTTTATTGCATTTTACTTCGTTTCTTTAGAAAACATCGTTGTATTTGAAAACGTGACAAAATACTGTTCCTAAACTCAAAATCTAGACTAAGTTCCTGGAACTCGTTTTTCAAGCCGTTTAGAGAATTCTAAAGGGAAATAATTCATGAGTAAGAGTGGGCCTTCTTATCTGTCTTCCTCACGGTTAATTTGCTAGGTCAGTGGTAGTTTTGGTTCTGCTAGGGTTTTGCAGACTCGTCTTCAGTGATATCAGGTTATTAAATGCGGGTGTAGGGTTGGGGCTGTGAAAACAGCAGTGGTTCTCGTGTGACCGGGGACAGCTGTTTTCAGGGCGCACGGCAGCTGCAGGAAGCGGTATCTGTTCATTGTTTGGGGACACACCAGGCGCCGATGAACATGAACATGAACTCACCAAGCCCTAAACACGACCTAAAAACACACGTGAGCCACCCCCGTGCATGGACGACGGCGGCACACCCAGGGAGGCCAGGTCAACACCGGCGAGGAAGAGGCCGCCGGTGGCTTCCCGGGCCGCTGTCCTGCCTGCCACCAACCCCGACAGCAGCTGGCGCCCCTCGCCCTCTCCCCCTGCCCTCCACACCCGGACACTGCACCCTCACTGCTGCCTGCCTCGTTCAGAGCCTCGACCGAGATGCGGAATTATCCGTTACCCTGCGTCTTCTCTGCTGAGCTCAGCTCCATGGGGGCAGGGACCACGCCTGGCCTGTTCACTGCCCCACGGCCAGCGGCACGCATTAGGTAGGTCCTGAATGACGTTCCCAGACTGAAGAAATGAGACCCTGCCTAGACTCTGCACCTTCATGGAGAATACCGGCCTTTAAGCCGAAAGAGGCACCTGAGCACACGTCGGACTCCTCCACCTGCCTCCCGGAACCGCGAGTCTGAGCGCTCGCTCCAGGTTCTGCATGGACGGGAGGCAGGCGCTGCGCGGGCTCCGCAGGCAGTGGCGGGCCTGGCCGGCGAGCGGCCTGCCTTTCTCTGACGTCGCAAGCAGCACAAGCTCTGGAGCCGTCAGGCCCGGAACCGACGCTCAGGTCTGGCCTTCGCGGGGCCTCCTTGCAAGTTACGCGAACCCTCTAGGCCCGTCTCCTCGCCTGTCACTGGGAAGACAGCAGGGCTGAGAATGAACAGTGCGTCACCCACAGCGCCTTCCGCAGTGCCTGGGGCCCGAGGGACGCACGGGGTGGCCGAGCAGCCCGGCCCCTCCCACCCACACGGCCACGATGGTCCTAAGAACGTGAGCGGAAATGTCGCGGAGCAGACGCCTTTTAAAAACACTGCTCTAGTGCAGGCCACTCACGTCCCGCGGGACGGGCAGGAGTCAGCTCGGTCGGCCGGGCCGGTGGGGGCGCGGGAAGAACACTGGCCTCGCGGCCGGCTCACCCGGGCGGGACGCTGGCTTCGCTCATGCACCTCAGTGCACGCGCACGATCCGCTGGATTTCTTCAGGCGTCTTCCCCGGGGTGCAGTGTAGGTGATGGCTCTCGCGGCCGGCGAAGACACGCTCCATGAGTCTTCATTCCGCAGACGCAAACGCTGAGGCGGGGCAGGTAAGAACCTGGGGCCAAGGGTCATCAGACCCCAGAGGCAGAGACGGGAACCCCAGGCCACGCGTGGGGGGATCAACAAAGTGCGTCGAAGCCCCAGACACCAGATCTTCTCTGAGATGCCATTTACCAATGAGGAAGTGGCCACCGGAATCAGCCTTTCGGGTCCACGGTGGTGAAAGTGGCCACGTGTAATGGCTCAGATGCGAGAAAAATCAAGTGAGTTCCTCCGACGATATCGTACAGAGCAGTCAGAGTGTTCATAAAATTCCTCATTTCTGTCCCCTTGGCTCTTTCTTTGCCAAAGCTCCAAGAAAGGCAGAAAAGCTTCCGAAGCCCGGAGCAGAAGCAGCCGGCAGAGGAGGGCGCAGCACAGAAACGCCTCGCCCTCTGCTTGCAGCTGCTGCTCCAGCTCGGCTCCGCCGGCACGTGCTGTTCTGGAAAACCCAGAGACAAAACCCGTCAGACACGCCGGCGTCGGAATCTGCTCACGTCCCGAGCTCACGGAATCATCGCATTCTCTTCACGGAAAAGCGGGTTTTGCTCACTTTCTCAACCAAGAAGAGTTTTGCTCCGTCTCTTTCAACGTTTAAAAATTCAAATCCATGATAACTTAAGAATTCAAGTAACCCAAAGAATGCCTCTGACTCGACTGCTCACGTCAGGAGGGAACGAGCCCAGTCCTGTAGTGGCGCTTTGCAGGATCATCGGCTTTAACGACCGGCTCAGGGTTTACACGGATAAACAGATGGGTTGGGGGCTATTTCTTGCCTTCTCAGGGGTAAGACCTGAGGAAAATCACATCCACTGGTGGTGATTTCACGTTAAAGGAGAGATTATCTTCTGCACACTTTGCCAGATTGATCTTCTGAGAATCTGTTTTTCCTTAAACGGACAAGGAGGTGACAGTAACGACAGACTCTAAAGGCAGGCATGAGGCTCATGAGTATCAAACAGCCTTTTCCCAACTGACCTGGAGCAGCGCATCCCAGCATCCCGTGGAGCACTGTCACGCTGCAGGGCCACAGGGCCCGACGGCCATCCACTCTGGCTCCCGCAGTCAGCCCTGGTCCCCGGCCTTGTGGCCGGCGTCCTTCTGTGGGGCGCACATCGGGGGAAGGGTGGGGACGGGGCCAGAGCTGGGCGTGGGTTATACCCGAGTGGAAGCACAAACGATGAGACCAGCCTCCAGGACGATGCCACCTGGTGCAGGCTGGCTCGCGCCTCTGGATCTCCTGTGCCACGTCGGTGCCCCACGTCCTTCCCCAAGCCCCCCAGAGCACAGACAGGAATGCAGACTTGCTAACGGGGAAAGTCGGGGACAGTCAGTGACACGGCTTTTACACTGGGACTGGGCGGCAGAGAATCAGGCCAGACTGGGTTTCTAAGAGAGGACAGGCTGGGTCTCTGGCTCTTTGCGAAAGCCAGATGATCACGAAAGCCATGTTATCACATTAAGCACTAATGTTCAATACCAGAGAAGGGGGGTCTTCAATCTTGAGACAAAATTCAGCGGCCCCAAACTCCCACGTCGACTCCCCCACCAAGCCATCAAGCCACACGCTGTGGGCATCAACAAAACAGAACGCTCACCTCCATTTCATACATCGGCGGCCCAAGGATGTCCTTTAGAGCGTGGAAATCGATCAAGATCGGCATTTCGGGCGGGAGGGCCAGGTCGGTGGCGTCGCTGATGGACTCAGGCTCTGTGTCCTTTAAGACATGTTCTCTGCCACCTGAGAGACAAAATGTGATTTAGAAATTCTGAGACCTGCAGGCCTGAGAACCCCTCAGCAGGAGCCGTCAAACCGGAGCGCGGTGGGGCCCGCGGTCCAGGCGCCGCTCAGCCTGAGGCGCACGACCTCGCCTGGCGTCTATGGGACTCGGCAGGGACTTGGCCCCGTGAGGGTGACGCCGCCTCGCCCTGTGCGTTTAGTTCCACCTGTCGTCTGTCCTCGTCAGAGTGTAGACCCTGAGGCCGGCGCCCTTGCCTGTCTTTCTAACCTTGACATTCCTTAGCTGGGACCAGGGCCTGGCCTCACCCGCCAATGGCTCTCGGGGCCAGGTACCGGGGGGCGAAGTGCAGTGGTCCCCTCGGACGGTTCCGCTGGACCGACAGAACCCAAGCCTAAGCGCCCTCTTCAGGGAGGCCCCTCAGGTGTCCCGTGTCCTGACGGGCAGCGTGAGCTGGGAAATGACGAAACCATCTGGACGACGCCTCTCGGGAACACACAGCTCAGCTCCAAGACACGTTCCCAGTGAGGACAGACGGGACGGCGGTGCCGGTGCCGGGGGAGGCGGTGCAGCCGCCTGGAGTCCCGCAGGGACCGCTGTTCCCTTACCAGCCCCGGGCCGAGCTCCCGACCCCGGGCAGAGCCACCTGCCGGGTGAGCCACCTCCCTGAGGGTCTGATTCCGTCTGAGAGAAGGAAAATGTTCCTCGAGGCCGGAAACCTAAGATGAGTAGAGGCGTAAAACCTAAGGGACTGTTCGGCTCCGCTCAGGCTCACCCCGGCTCTCCGTTTCATGACTCTCGTTCTCGTACGAGCTCGCGAAGCGTTTGAAACGACTCTTTCATTGTCCGTTTTGCGTACACCCCTCCTTCCGGAAGTGAGTACGCTGTGTTGATGCACAGTGTGATGACGAAGTCCCCGAACGCTGTCCATCTACATCTATTTATCTGGTTTCGCTGTGACTCCCCCGTCCGTCCCTCGTGAAGCTATAAGAACCGGTTTTCACTAACTCCTTCCGACCCGCTCACTGACCGTGCCCAACAACATCGGACCCTCATTCCAGCCTCCGGCGAGACTGGCGACGCCCTGGAGTGTCCCCCTCAGGGTGAAGGGCTCGCTGTCTGTCCTGCTCGGCCCCGGGCTGCTCTTCGAGACCACAGCGCGGGTGACACGGGGGTGGAAACAAAGCAGGGCAGACCTCCTGCCACTCGCCGGCTGGCCGGCACACTCGGCGCGGGCCTCCGTCTCTGCGGGGCTCCGTGAGGATGAGGGGACGGGGGGAGAACGCTCCGTGGACGGCGACGTGCAGGTGCACACCGGACGCCGCGTCAGACACGCCCAAGTCCCCGCTCTGTGCGGCCGCTCCGTGCGGCCCGACCCGATCCCAGGACGTCCTCCTGCTCTCCCCGCGTCTCAGGGCGCTTGCTGTTTCAGGGAACGATGACCGGTACTCGGCGGCGTGGGGAACGGGAGGTGCCTGAGCGGCCGGAGCGGGCTGGACAGCCAAGGGCGGGGGGCGCACGAGCGGCCCTTTCGGCTGCGTGTCGGCTCCGAGCAGGACCGAAGGCGGCGTCACTGCCCATTGAAAGGCCCACGCAGAAAGGACAGGCTGCCTGTCCAGGACGGGGCCTTGGGTCTCTTCAGCCTGTTCTGCTTTGTCACAGCTTTTCTGAGACCCAGCTGCTGTCGCCAGCTGGGTTCCACTGTCACGGGAGGGTGAAAGCCAGTCCCCGCTTCTGCAGCCAGTGCCGTGGGACAGCCGCCCTCGCAGGTGGGGTGAGGCCAGCACCCCAAGCGCCGAGGGAGTGGGGGGTTCCTAATGCAACCAGCCCTTGTCGCATAAAAGGTAGCGCTGGGCACTGCAGCCGTGATGTGAGAAGTTCAATAAACGCACAGCTCGCCTGTGCTTCAGACGTTCCGTCATTAGAACACGAGCCCAGAGAACTAAAGCTCAAGCCCAGAAAGCGGCGCCGGCCCCTCGGGAAAGGCGGGCTGGCACCCACGGGACCCGTGTGATGCATGGCGAGAGGAAGGACACCCTAGATTTCCACGGAATCCATGACACCGCAACGTTCAAGTGAGGCCGGGCAAACGAGAACAATTTCAAAAAGTTCAGCCTCCCAACATGGACCCTGCCCCACAAATCTTCCAACTGGAATCGCATCGTTTTCTTCTGCATCCTTTTCTGGGGCTAAAACAGTGGTTCTTAACAAATGGTCAGTAGTCACGTGAATAGATGATGATTTCGCCAAGAAGCAAAATTTAATTCAAAGCAGGACACCGTTTTCTGGTGACCGAAATGAAGTGACTCGTAAACAAGTTTAAGAAATAACAAAGATCCGTGTTAAGGAGAGTGAAGAGACCTTCTCAAACGCTGTCGCTTATGAAAGCGCAAACCGGTTCACTTTCAGAAGAGCCATTTGTCAGTATACCGAAAGCCTCGCAAATATTCAGAATCTCAGGCCCAGTGAACCTATTTTGCAGGACGAGTCCCCAAGGACAACTGCTGTGCAGACGAGAGGTTGGATAACACCGCTACTCACTGCGGCGCCATCTGAAATAGCAAAAAGCAGATCCAGTGGTGACATGTGACATTAGAAACGCAGGTCGGCAAAGCGCCAGGCAGCCGGCGATGACGCGCCACACTCACTGGCGCCGTCTCCTAAGTGTGAGGTCACGCGAGGAC